TCATTTAGGCCATATTTTTTTGTCTTGGAGTACCAGTCTGGTGAACTTTTCTTCCTTAACTCCTTGGTTGTGGGACTCCCATGCAGTTTGATTTTCTGGAAGTTCTGGTTGTTTTTCTTTTAAATTCGTTGTTGTCCTTCTTTTGGTTTTGAGGAAGCAAAGCATATTTACCTATACCTCTATCTTGGCTGAAGTCTCCCATTGATATAATTAAGTATGGTAATTTTTTCTTTTTAATTTTCTTTTAAAGATTTTATTTATTTATCTTTAGAGGGGAAGGGAAGGAGAGAGGGAGAGAAACATCAATGTATGGTTGCCTTTCATGCGTCCTCTGCTGGGAACCGGCCTGCAACCCAGGCATGTGCCCTGGCTGGGAATCGAACTGTGAGTGTCTGGTTCGCAGGCCCGTGCTCAATCCACTGAGCTACACCAGCCAGGGCAGTAAGTATGGTAATTTTATTGCCATACCTAATATTTGTGTTTCCTGAATCTGCTGGTTCATATCTTTTATTAATTATGGGAAAATTTGAGCTTTTTGTATTTTCAAATATTACTTCCTCCTGTTTCCTCTTTCTATGTTCTAAACATCTGTAAGCATACTGTGGATTATCTTGGTCTATTTTTTGTTTCTCAAAATTTCTATCATTTTCATTTCTCTGTGGTACGTTTTTACATTTTTTACTACTTCTTTAAAATTTTTTAAAAATTTATTTATAGGGAAAGGGGAAGGGAAAGAGAAGGAGAGGGGGAGAAACATCACTGTGCAAGAGAAATATCAATCTGCTGCCTCTCACATGACCCTAACTGGGGAGCTGGCCCACAACCCAGGCATGTGCCCTGACCAGGAATCAAACCAGCAACCTTTTGGTTCACAGGCTGGTGCCCAATCCACCTGGCTGGGGTACCAGCCAGGGCTTTACTACTTCTTTAGTGCTATTTTTAGGTCATTAACCGTCTTCTCAGTTTTGTGTAATCCGATTTTGAGTCCATCCCTTGAGTTTTTAGCCATGACCATTATTTTTTGTTTCTAGAAGTTCAGCTTGGGTTTTTTTTTTAAATGAACATTCAGATTACTTTATTTGCAGTAATCATATTTTGTCATGTTTTGTTTAATTTCTGTAGTAGTTTTTCTTTTTATATATTTATACGATTTTATTTATTTATTTTTAGAGAAGGGGAAGGGAAGGAGAAAGAGAGGGAGAAACATGTGTGGTTGTCTCTTGCAGCCCACATTCCAGGCATGTGCCCTGACAGGAATCAAACTGCTGGCTTTTCACTTTGCAGAACAATGTCCAACCAAGTCACAATGGTCTGGGCTCTATAATAATTTTAAACATAGATATTCTGGTTCTACATTTGCTTCCTGAAGTTTCTGCTGACTCTTGCTCATGCTAATTTTTTTTTCACAGGTTAAGTAGTTTGGGATAGTCAGAATTTTGCAAAGTTTGAGTTGAGTTTATGTCTTTTCAGAGAGTTTTGCCAAGAGTGCTAGGGCCACTAATGTGAGGGACCGCTTTTTATGAAGAGTCTTGTTAGGTCATGCATGGGATGTAACTTTGAACTACAAATTTAAGTGAGGAAAGGCCTGTGGTTATGAAGGTGAAGCTTCTCTTTTTTCATAACTATTAAATCTATCTCTTCTAGATTATTAAGACTAGAAATCTCTGTAGTCAGAGTATCAGTGCCTGCTTACTGGTCTCATTTCCAATTCCTTTTTATTTTTTCTTTGTGTGGGGAAATTCCAACAGTACATAGAGGAAAACCAGACTGGAAGAGTAACTTGCAGTTAGATGGCCTGAGATTTATTGCCATGTATGAGTGGTAAACCAATATTAAAAGTAGATGTGCATATTAATGTCTTTGGGTAACAGAGCAAGGTAATGAACTTTTTTTCATTGGCATTTAAATATATGATTAGAGTCATTGATATGATGACTTACACATATTATTCCTCATATAATATGTGTCTGTGTCACAAAGTGATGGCTGAAGCATGTCATTTTGGAATTAATTTAATAAATTTCAATGAAAATACTACTTTTGTTTTTTCAAACATTCAATGCTTTGTTAGTATATGTGTTTCCAGTTCTCAAAATTAAAATGAGTACCCTTATATGATTTTACTCTGACTTCTTTTATATGAGAGAATAAGTAACAAGGTGAGAGTAGCTGTGATTTTATTATAGTCATCTTTGTCCTACGTGATGCATGCCAAAGCCGTGTCTCCTTGCCTTTCTTCTTCCTTATTCCTCTGCAGGAGGCCATTCTAAAAATAGTTCCAGTAATAGATGTCATGTACATGGTCAGGTTGCTGAGTCACGTAGTTCTTTTTTGAAGTTTAGGAATGTGGAGAATAGTGAGCAGAGTAGGGTAAGCATATTTATCAAATGGCAAGTTATTATACTTTTGAAAAATAAAGAATATAATTCTTACTAATCTTGTAGTAGCTTTATTTAAATATATCTTAAAAGGATTATATTTTGAAATATGTAAAATGATTTTAAATCTTCAAAAAAGCTTCGAGTGTGATTCTCAGGATTGTGTTTTGTTAAATATAATAAATTTGAGACAATGTGCCATCAATTATTGCTTCTTGGCAGTAGTTTTCTGCCTGTGATATTATTGTCTCCAGAATAGAATGGTTGGGAGGGCTTAATGCTTGACAATGAAATAAATGAACTGACTTTTGCTCAAAGCTGTGAGAATTTAGCTTTCTTACATCATCCTTAGACCCCATTTCTCCTTTCCCCATCACTCCAAAATAGTGATACTTGTTGTGTAAGCAGATTGCTGAGTGCTGGTTCCCCCAAAATACCACCAGGACAGCAAATTTATTAGAATGCTAGGGATTCATTACACAATATTACTCAGAATTGCTAGAAAAATTAAAGAAAAGTTATAATTTTTTGAAAAATGAAATTTAGAACAACAAAAATGATTGTATAATTATTTTGCTTTTTAAGTTTCTGGAAAGACTGTCTATTAAAGTGGTTATAAAAATATATGTAATTGAATTCTGATTTTGAGTTTTTTTATTTGTTGTGAATATTTTCATAGCTCAATAAGGTCATGGCAGTTATTGATTTTGAAAATTTGATACAGACTTCTGTTAAAATTTTGTTTTATGAATGAAGATAAATATAAAACATTATAATTTAATCAAATGAATATTAAAAAGACCTTTCTCACAAAGTATCTCCTGATGTAATTTGACTTTATAACTAGCAAAAATATATGTCTTGAATGTTGTCTGCAGTCTCTGGAGCTGGTGGGATGCACCTGAAAGAGACACATGTATCTTTTTAAGGTGCCTCGATTCGGAGGAGATCCAGGCTACTGCTTCTCAGTTTCTCCCAGTTATATGTCAGCAAACACGCTTTTGCCCAAAAACGTCTCAGGTAGATTCCAGGAAGAATCTGGGAGAAGAGATTCCCCAAGATTGAGAGGCCTTTCAGTTGGGTGTGACTCTATGCTTCTGGAGGGCAGATAGGAAGCAAGCTACCATTTCCTTTGGAAAACAGGGCCCTGGAATAACATGAGCCCTCCCACTGTCAAAGTAGTTCTTTCCCCACCCCACTCACCTCTTGTTTCTGGTAATATCAGAGACATAGCTGGTAGAGCTGGTTCAAGAACTTGGTCAAATGTGGAGCCTATCACCCACTGAGGGGACTTTGGCTGCCTTCCTGTTTTATGCAGAGTTATTCCTTGCCTGTGGTTGATAAACCCTAAAAAATCACTCACACCTATGGAACAGACTTTTCAGGGCTGGGCCTCAGAATGGTAATGCCACGTGAATGGTATACATAGCCAGTGAATTGGTCTCTGCAGTTATATTCATTTCATACTGTTTAGGGTCTAAGGGGTTGAGAGAAGGTTGGATTTGATTTGGCCTGAGTATTGGTCACAATAACATGTAACATATACACATTTATATTAGCATCCTTCAAACTTACTTAGCTAGAAATTATTGTAATTATATCGCCCTTAAAAATAACAACCATTTTATGGGGAAAATGCCAGTGTGCAGTGTTTTTAAAGAGCAGAGTAATAGAAGCCATGATCAATGGAACCTTGTCCTGCCTCAGACTCCAGGATAGTTTATAACCCTGGGTCAGCTTCCCCCTGACTCCATGCTGCCCCTGCACCAACCTCAGCTGTCTGCTTTTCTCATGTGAGGGATGAGGTTGTAGACTGAGCTTCCTCTTAAGATTCTCTTACTCCAGTATGTCATACTTCTCAGGTTTGTGTCTTTTCACTTAATGAAACTGGACAGCTTTATTTATATTTTGTAATTTAAAAAAATTGTATGGCCAAAGATTTCAAAATTTGCTGAGTGTAACTACTTTTAAATAAATGGTAGAGGTTTGCTTTGGGGTGCTGTACCTAAACAGAACAGGGTAGCTTTCCCTGACAAGAACCTCCAGTTCTTGCTTAGGTTGGAAATTGCCCTTACGGTGCCCTTCAGTGACACTGGGTATGATCTGCTTTTAGTTTTATGAGGGGATTGTTTGTGTTTTGGTTCATTTGTAACCGAGTGGCATATTTCCATGGGTTTGAGAACAGTGAGGTAAATTGGCTTTGAAATTCACAGTACTGTTTGGAAAGCTAATAGCATAAATTTAAAATTTGAAGCATTTGAACAGTTCCCTTTTATAAATGATTTTTAACAAATGTTTGCTCTTACTACATTTGTGATACAGTTCAAATGCTGAAGAAGCATTTTGGCTTCTTTCCCAAAAGAGGCTAGCAGCAGCATCTCTCCCTGCTCTCCTCCGAGCTTTTTACCGTGTGAGTGGTGCAGCTTGTTCTGCGGATGTGCTGAAACCCTCCCATTTAATCTGCAGTGGAGAAGAATGGAGCTCAGCGTCCAGTAGAAATCACTGGTCTAGCAAGGTTGCAGTAAACAGAAGTGACTGTGTATTTCAACAGCTGAGCAAGAAGACATGTATAATATTTCTTTTGCTGTCAGCTGATAAATTTTGCTTTCTGTTTCCTTCTAGAGGGATGTGGATAATTTGCCCTGCCTCCAGCGTCTCTTTCTCAGCTTCAACAACATAGCCAAGTAAGTGGAAACTCCCAACTTGTCATTTACTAACAGCTTGATTGTGTGGGTTTAGTGCTTTGAAATAAGATTGTAAGTGCCTTGGAGAATTTATTGACATGTGAGATTTTAAATTGGATAATGATAGGGCTGTCTGTGACAGAGTTCTTGGTGGAAAAAACGAAGCTCTGATGTGTATTAGTGCTTCTAATACTAAAATGATGAAGTTAGTATATAACATGTGCTTTTTATTTAATCATACTTTAGAGATGCTGTGTTGGAAAATGTAGAAATTTCAGTATACATTTTGCTCTCCTTTGTTTGACATTTCCTGCACTAGTCAAATTAGAATTTCTTTCATAGAGTACCTACAATCTGTGTAGCTGCCAAACAGTTTTGATGTAGTGGGCTCAGAGACACTTGCTAGTTAGCCTATAACTTCCAACTTGGTATCCCTACTTAGGACTAATGCTGCTAAGGGATGGAATATTAAATATATAAATGTATCAGTGTTGTTACAAAGATTTGAAGCATATTGTCCTTTGTGTCGTGATAAAGTCTTAGTGTCAATGTGGCAGATTTCGGAACTGGAGCTGAGACAAGCTGTCAGACCTTTCAGCGTGGAGGGACCGCTATTCCTTCCCTAATTTCTTCCTTCTCTTTCCCCGTAGCCACTTGGTTTGAACTCAGCTGAATAACAAACTTCCCCTAAGTTTTATAGTTTTCCTTCAAGGCTGTGCTTTGAACCTGCTTTTATAACATGGTAAGAATGAAGTATAAAAGAGTTTAGAGTGTGTCTCTTCCTGGCCTCTAGGTCTGTGCTTCTGATTATTCAAAATTGAATAATCAGTTTGGTTTTTATGCACTTTCTGTTTGCACCCTTTCCCCCCATCAGACTTGGGTCATCCATATCCTTGTACTGTGTGTATGTCTAAAGGTTAGAGACGAGATCCAGATGGCAAACGTTGCAAATAGGTATTATTTTGAAGAAAATACCCTGAATCTCTCTCTTTTTCTTCTGTGGAAAAAGCATTAAAGTTTTCTGGAGTATTTTTTCTCTCTCTCTTTTTTTTTTTTCATTTTATGTTGAATGCTGTTCTAGCTGCCTTCTTGCTGAGGAGGTAGGATTTATTTTTCAGTGGCAGCGTAAGGGACACTCAATTTTCTTTAGGGAATTTCTACCTAAAGACTATTAACAACTGTTTTGAGAGGATAATTTCTCATTCTCACAATATGTTGTTTCTCGTATCTCACAATATTAACTGTCTAAGGTGCTATTAACCCTTAAATTCCCTCAACCTATAGTGGAACTCATTACTGTGTTTCTTGTCTGGTTTATGGGGAGTAATTTAAAGAGATACATAAATTTGGGAGTAGGGGTTATGATGTTTCAGGTCCCCAGGATCTCTGAACTGCTATCATCACTGCAGAACCAGCTCAGAATGGTGCTGTCCTGTTTCTAGAAAGACCTGGAGCCAAAGTTTATGAGTAACACTTGTGCGTACCACTCACAAGTAACACTTATGCACTTTCAACTGCTCCCCCCACGGAACCAAAGTAGTGGGACAGGATCAGAACCTGAACACTTGGAACCTTTTCAGAAGTGAAGGGTCCATTGTCCAGGAACAGCTGATGGTGACACCACCTAATCTGGCCCCAGACCCTGGGTTGGGAAGGCAGATTGGAGCCTGCCTCCTGTCTCCTAGTCAGTTGACTTGCAAATAAAAGCCTATTCTTTTCTCAAAGCCGGTGCCATGTTGGCTACCATATGTGTCGGTAACAGGCCTCTGCTTGTAATGCTGGGTGTGTGGGGAGTTGGTTTTAATTGCTTGTATTTAGGGAATTTTCTTACCAACCTATAAATGAGTTTCACCCACCCATATCTGTATTGAAATAAAGATATGATTAATGGGATGAATATTTATAACTTTCTTTAAAATTTTCTTGCATGATTTTGCAAGAAATTGCAATAGAAGTGAGTCAACAATTTCAGGGCTTTCATTTTCTTCTTAATTGATTTCTCTGTGTTTGAGCATGGGCCTAGCCCTTTGCTTTCCTCTACTGCTTCTAGCTGATGTACTTTGAGGCTAAGTACATTTTCTGCTTTGTTCCTGTTAATGCACATGACCCCGGAGATAGTGTGTAGTGAATATAGTGGGTCTGAGGAGAAAAAATTAGAGCTGAATCATTGAAAACATTCCTGTAAAGTTTACCTAGGACACAAATGTTTCAGGTAGCTGGGCCATTAGATGATCTGTAGTGACACCGCTAGTATCTTTTCAGGGCCCAAGTGCCCAGCTATAGTCCGGGCACAGTAGACTTGCCTGGTTTGACAAAGGGAGACCCCCAAAGTCCCCTGGAATTATCTTCTGGACAGCAGGCCCCTTGTAGTACAGGCTTCCCCCCTGCCATAGGTGAGTGTTTTAGGAGCCCATCTGTACCAGTATGCCAGCTGGTGTTGTTGTGAGAGGATGTTTGGCTTCAGTGAATTTTTTTGGAAAACTCAACGTGTTTGCCCATTTCATCATGGGTGATTTACAAGCACACCTGCCCACACCAAGCTGAGTGTTTAGCACTTTTTGACCAGGAACAGCATGACCCCCATGCCCCACCCTCCCTATCCACCTGATCTCACCCTGAATGACTTTTTTTTGTTTCCTGGGATGAAAAAAATCCTCAAAGGGAAACGTTTTGCTGATGTGGAAAAAGTGAAACAAAAAACGGCAGAAACACTAAAAGGCATCAGAATTGACAGATTCAAAAACTGTTTTGAACAGTGGACAACACATCTGGAGAGGTGCATTGCATCAAATGGAGAGTACTTTGAAGGTGACTGAAGTTTAAACATGGAAGAATAAATGCATTCCAGTTTGTAAATAAATTCCATTTTGGGGGTCCCCCCTCATACAGTGCAGTGGCCCACAGGCCCCAGGGGTGCAGAAGAGCAGAAACAGCAGGGAAAGCTGCAGGTCGGCACCTTTCGGGTCCCCTGGAAAATTCTCGGGTAGTGTTTCACAGATGAAAATATCCGAACGTATCTCCATTTTGGGGAGACGAAAATGCTTTGAATGTTATGTACTAGGGCTTCTTGGTTTTAACCAACTTACTGGATTCTTAATTAACCACTTGCATAAATTATTAGGTAATAATAATTACCTAATAATTATCTTTCAGGTGGCAATTCAGGAAGTTCCAAAATGTGACGGTACCCTATTGAATTCAGGGAATTACATTGTGGGTTGAATGGTGAGCTTTGTGGACAGAACACTTTTTGTGTGTTTTCCTGAAGATACTAGAACAGTGCATTTAGTTCTACCGTGAGACAGGCAAGCTATACTTAGAGAATGAATGACAAATATTCATGTCTGTGTATCTGAATAGAATTAGTGCTTCTGGTTAACTTATCCCTCAGAGCATGAGGAATATAGAAATATAAAGACACAAATAGGTAGTTATAATTCAGCGAGTTTAACTTTGTTGTGGTGACATGCAGGGATATTAGAAAATGTAAATCAGCCTCGAAGTGAAGGAAGCCTTCCCAGAGGTAGATGGTACCTGAGTTGAGCTCTAAGCGCAGAGCTGGCCTTAGTAAAGTTAGGGGTACTGGGGCGATCAAGGTACAGGGCACACTTGGGCTGAGTTGATGGAGAGGCTCAGGGTGGACTTGCTGGGTTTGCTTTCTGGGGAACCGCAGTGAGATCCTTACCCTCCCCTGTTAACTTCCCCCCATTCCCGCTCATACTATCCCTGGACCTTCCTGCAGCCCATAGAATGCTGCAGGGGCCTGCCAAAGCACATTTTATGTTGCTCACCTCTCGAGAGATAGTTTATGGTTAATCAAAATAATCTGTTAAATTCCATTATTCACCTTTTCTTCTTGGGTATTGGTTGTCCGGTTGATTCATTTTGTTTTTCATGGCTCTCATGCTTTTAATTTTTAAGTAATTTTTTCTAGTAGTTTGACCTTATTTTATGAATGCAAGTTTTCTTTGATTATTAGAATTTACTTTTTTCCCTTGGAGTTAATACCTGTATTTGTTTCCTAAACAAAACAAAAAAGCTCCTTCTTTTTTTGTTTTTTTACATCCATGATTTTTGGATGGTAGTTTTATTTATAAATGAGAGTCTAGATGGAGTTATTTCCCTAGCTTACATTTAAAAAAAATCACTGTGAATGCAAGTTGTGAGTACAGGATCTGTGTCTGCAGAGGATGTAGGGTGGGGAGGAGGGCATTACCTACCCCGTTGGACTTCCCTTTAGGATGTTCGCAGAAACCTGCCTCTGGGAATGGGGACTCCCTCTTCAGTGCTGCCACCAGGACTTACCCAGAACACGGCCCTTTTTCTCTCTTCATTGTCAGGCCACTCTGAGAGTGAGAGGCTAGCATATTGTTTCCAAACCCTTCAGGAATTACTGGGCAGCTGACCCATCTCCATTGCCAACACTTGCTGCCTCTGATTTGGGGACTAGTACGAGGCTCTGCTGGCAATACTTAGCAACTTACAATGTAATGATCCTGTTCGGTTGAGGCTCTTTAGCAATTTTGGGTTTTACTAATTCCACTTGCTGTATACCTTCCAGAAATTCCTTAGTGTTCTGGTCTGCTGGTGGAACTTCTCCTGATTTTTTGTACTGCTATGGGTATTTCATACTTTTATATTCAGTCATTTCAGAGATATTTGGAGAGGGTTAGGGAATCAGGGGTGTACGGCCTTTTGGCCTCTGGCCAAACTGAAAGAAGAGTTGTCTTGGGCCACACATTAACTACTTTGCAACACCTAATCACACAAAAAGATCTTACAGTGTATTAAGTAAATTTATGATGTTGTGTTGGGCCGCATTCATAGCCGTCCTGGCCTGCATGTGGCCTGCGGGCCACAGGTTGGACATGCCTGTAAGGTAGGCGTTCAGTCAGCCTTTCTTGTAACTGTCCTTCCTTTGAGTGATTTCCCCAAATAGGATACATATGAAGATATCTTTGGAAGGTCTGAAGATAAATAGTAGACACTGGTTCACTGCT